CAGGGACCGCTCTAACAATGCAAGTCTCTGAACAGATGGATCAGCTCTTCTGGAATTGTTCTCCTTTTTACTTTCTTCTTTCAAAAGCAAAAAAAAAGTTACCCAGATTATTCTAGGGACCATGTCATTTTCCCTCCAGGATGATGGAAGCCAGCAATTTAGCCCCCAAATTGAGGTGTCTTCTTTTGCTTTATGAAAGAATATAGGGTAGATGGTCCTTCCCCAGTTGTCTTTGGCTCCTTATGGGGACAGCTAGTTGGCAGGAAGGGGTAGCAGGCACTGCGAGGAAAGGTATTTGATCTAAACATCCCATTTTCCCAAATCTATCCTGATCCAATTTCAAAATATACCTTTTTTCTGTTTTAATTATTGAACACCGTGGTAATGTTGTCTGGGGACTACTCTCACTTCTTTACTTAATTATTTTAAAAAATCCTAGAAGGAAAAATATTTAACAATTAGGGAGTAGGATTCAAGGATATATCTGTACTCATGATATCATAGTGCAGAAACTCGACATCATAGAGAACCCATCTGTGTTGTCTTGACAACCAGCTAGAGCTAAACACTTTAAAAGTCCTTGTGAGAGATGGATAGGCTTTATTTGCCTTGCAGTTGAGCACCATCAGTTTGAGATCCTCTAAGCCATACAGCCATTTTTTAAATATATATTTATATATATATACTAGATGTGCTTGTAGAACTTAAAACAAAAACACTTAAGAAAAAGCATCTGTTCTAGAATCTCAAGTGTCAAGGCAAGAACTGGGTGAGTGAATGAAAAAGTGAAACTGAAAGGGAAAACAATCCTCAGATCTAGGAAATTTGCAGTAGAAGGAGGGTGGGAAAAGCAACTGAAATCTGAAAAGTATGAGGGAAGGAATTGAAAAAAAAAAATTTTTCCTCTTCCAAACAGGGCAAGACAGCTGTAAGCTGCTAAAATATCCCCCTGATCTAACAGGAACAGAGAAGCGACGGAATATCCCATCTTGAAAAATATGATGGAGCCAAGTGAATTTCCTGAGGCTTCTACTGATGCATCTGATGATGATGTGGCCGAGTCTGTAGAAACTGAAGATGCAGATGAAGGTCCAGATTCCCAGAATACTCCGGGTTCTTCTGTGTCCACTGTTGCACTGGATCCTTTGCTGCATGGTGGCAGAAATAATTCCAAGAAAAGAGCCACCCTGTCTTCCAAAAGAGCTGGAAGACAGTTGAGTCAATCAAGAGCCGTTGCACCCAAGCCACCAACTTCCAATCTTTCCTTATTGATCTACACTGCTGTTGCCACCTGCCAGAAGAAGTCTGGCCTTTCCATGCAAGCTCTTAAGAAAATCGTGACAAACATGGGCTACGACATGGTTAAAAAGAAGCACTATTTCCTGAGATCTATCAAGAATATGGTGGCTAAAGGGCAACTCTGGCAAGTGAAGGGCACTGGAGCAACAGGCTCATTCAAGATCAACCCTGACATTGAAAAGAAGAAGAACCCACCAAAGATGAAAGGAAAAAGTCCGAAGACCAAACATCCAATCAAGAAAAAAAAACGTTCTACTGTGTCTAAGAACGGCCGAGAAGCTGCCAAGAAGCAAGTCAAGGCTGAAGTCAAGAAAACCTGCAGAAGAGGCAAGATGTCATCTGTTCAGGCTGCTCCAAGTCAGGTCAAGGTGTAAAGAATGCCTGAGCTGCCTTTCAGAATGAGATCTGAAGCTTTTTGACTAATAAAGCAATCACTGTATTTGAAATTCAACAGGATCGGTATCATTTCTTTAAAAAAAATAAAGCAAATTATACTGTATTTATGGGAGGGAGGTTGTTGGGATATAGGTAGGAAACATATATAGTTAGGTGTATATAATAAAAACAAGATAGTTGCAAACTAAGCCTTTGGAAGTATTTTGATACATCTCCCACAAGACACAGCACTAACTTGAGTTAACGGGATCCATCTTGGAAACTACATTAGGAATAACCTTGCTGGTATGCCTTTAGGTAAATGGCAATATTGTGAATGATCACACCCACAATGCAGCTACTTTCAAATAGCAATTTAATTCTCCCATAGCAATTACTTCATGTGAATCTCTTCACAGCATGCTGTCAACGTTACAAATGTGCCAACTAGCACCCCCCCCCCCCAAAAAACCCCTTGTCTTAAAATACTGCCTTAAAACTATTTCTGTACTTTTCCAATTTCTACACAACTATCTTTCCAAAGGAGAAATAGCACTCACTCTTTGGGAACCAAAATCTGATCTACTTTGTAGATCATTTATGTCAGCTCTGCCACATCAGACTTTCCAAAACAGCTGCCCTCCTATTCATATGAGAATATTCCAGCCAATACATAGGTAATTTATCTGCACAGTTGTTAAAATGTTTTTTTTATATTTCAAAATATATATTGGGTCAAAGTACATGTTTTTATATGCTTAAAATGGATGACTGCCTCACAGACCAGAAGACAATAATCCTGTGAGCACTTACATTCTGATCAGTACATCAGTCAAATCTTCCTCAACCGACCTAACATAGTGGGCCACAGTTCTCAAGTTTTCCCTGACAAAAGGCATAAAGATTTATCTCTGAAAAGTGTAGAACATGTTGTGGCCCAGGTCTCTAAGACTAATTACCTCAGACATCTCTAATATGGTGTTTATCATAAAAGTTCAGATTGCACAAGAAATTGATTTATTATTTTTGCTACCCATCTTGCTGCAAGATGAATCTGTCTTACCACATTACAAGAAAACCATGAATATATGAATAAATATATAAAATCATATTAAAATTAAAATAAAATACAGGTTATAACTAAAGATGGGGAAGGGAAAAGAATCTATGGGGGTGGGGAGTAACTGCTATTAATCAAGCAACCACTTCCAATGTGATATTCCCCCATTAGGGCCCCAAGCCAACTGGCAGAGCTAGATCTTCAAATTCTTATGGAAAGCCAGGAAGGTGGGAGCCAAACTCACCTCAGGGGGCAAGATGTTCCAAAGAGACGGGGCCACAGCAGAAAAGGCATTTCTCCTGGGCCCTGCTAGCCAGAATTCCTTGACTGACAGAACCCACAGCATTCCTCCTCTGCTGGCATGGGTGGGGCAGGCCTGCCATAGAGGTGAGATGGTTCCTCAATTAACTTGGACCCATACCATGCAGGGCTTTAAAGGTAATAACCAACACCTTGAATTGCACCCACAAGCAAACCAGCAGCCAGTGCAGCTGTCAAAACAGTGCTCTAACATAGGCCACTCTACGAGCCCCAAAGACTGCACATGCCACCATATTCTGCACCTCTGAATATCTGAATATTCTCAGCATCCTTCCTTCCTTCCTTCCTTCCTTCCTTCCTTCTTCCCTACCCTTCTCTTCTCTTCCCTTCCCCCCTCCCTTTCCTTCCTATCATCTGTCTAGAATTTATCACAGAATATATACAGAGAAAAGAAATTTATTACAGTATATACATGCACATACATTCATGCAAATAAAATCATTCTTAATATTTCTCCAAGTTTACAATCCAGCAGGATAAGTATGGCTCATTTCTACAGTATTTATAAGTAGCACATGTTCATAATATAAAAGTAATACATACAGAGGATAGTGTACATTCAGAATTCCCTATAGGTTTGCCCCATAATGCCTTATTTGACATTACTCTTCCCTTTTCAAATAATAGGCACAATAGACAGTTGAATTACGGCACTTTATTTTCTTTTTCCTTACACACAGCTTCAGCTATGGAAACCTCATGTCATCACTGACTTTTTACTAGAAGAATTGGGTGGAACAGACTGCTTCTTCACTTTCCTTGACCTTCTCCTCTTCCTCTTCCTCTTCCTTTGCTTCACAACTTTCTTTATTGCCTTTTTCTTCTTCCTTCTCCTTTTCCTCTTTTTTCTTTTCAGTACTTTCATCATTATTTTGCTAATCCCATAGGAGCCTGTCAGTCCGAGCCCAGTCAACTTCCTCAGCAATCCTTTGGCCACCAAGGCCCTCAAGACTCTCTTGAAATGGTTCTTCCGCTTCTCCAGGCTGTAACCACTGGCTGCAACACTCTTCTTGAGGGCTTGCAGGGAGACACCACTGCGTTTCTCAGTGGAAGACACCACTTGGAAAATGATTTTGGAGACACCGCGGTTTGGCAGAAGGACTTTCCAGGGAAAAGAAGGCTTTCTTCTATCTTTTGACTTGTAACTAGATGTGGGTTTTATGTGCAGGCCTGAAGAAGAGGGTTGAGGTTCATCAAAGTCATTATTTAGAAGTAGTTTTGGGGCAAAGATGTTGGCTGATATTGGTACAGGACTGTTTTCTTCTAAAGATTCAGTATTAGTCAAAGAAAAAGTCATCTGTTTTTCACTTATAGTACCCATTTTCTTCTCAAGTTTGGCTTGGCCTGCTACTTCTTCAACATGACCCCACGTTTCAGGGTGGCTTGGTTCACTTCCTGTCTTCCTGTTAGTAGAGGTTTCCTCCTGAGTGTCACATTAGTTTATTCTGATGGTTCTTCCAGGAGTCCCCAAGACTGATTGCCTGCCCCAGAAAGTAAGATGTTGGATGGGATTCCTTTGCCAGGCCATCTCACTTTGCCACAGTTATGAGAGCAGTGGAGGAAGTGTTTGAAACTATTAAAGAGTTGCCATGGGAACAGCTTGGTAGATTGTGGTATCACAGCTATTCTGTGATGCCTTGCTATGTGTATGTTATGTGTCTATGTGTGTGCCTCTTGGTTAATGGTTTAGCATTTAGACTGACTCTCAGGACCTATCACAAACTAGACCCTAAGGTTTAATTTAGAAAAAGTTAGGTTACCTCACAATGAAGCAAATATAATAAAAGGTACAAATTCATAAAATTTAGCTGGAATGAAAGGAGATTTTGAAAATGCCATGGGAGGTAGCAAGTGACATTTGCACAAAACAAATGATTTATTTATTTATTTTTACATTCAAATATAAATAAAAGCAAAGACAAAAGTCAGAAAGAAAGCAACTTACTCTGAGGTGCTCAGGTCCCTCTTGTGCCTACAATTCAAAGAAACGGAGGCATTATATTCAATTAGAAAAAAGCAAATCATTTTATTTTTCAATAATATATTTTTGAGAACTACAAGCATCCCCTTATGAGAGATAGTATGGCATAGTGGTTGAAGGCTCCATGGTATGAACCAGGAGACTGTGGGTTATAGTCCTACCTTAGACACAAAGCCAGCAGAGTGACTCTGAGCCAGTCACTCTCTCTGTCTTAGGAAGAAGGTGAGGAAAAACCACTTCAAAAATCTTTCAAAGAAAACTGCAGGGACTTGCCCAGATAGTCCCCAGGCAAATTATTTGAAGGCCCAACTCCTCCACCCCATCCTCATATTCTCCAGTTTACTCCCTTACCCAATAAGAGACCACAACCTATTAAGTTATTATCAGTCCTGTTATGTTTTGAAAAATGCTCCTAGACTTAATGCCATTCCATAATAAGATGCATGAATATATAATGACTTAAGAAGGGTCTTTTGGATGACCATTGCCAAGGGAACGTGAATAAAAGAAATGCCAAATAAATAATGTTTTAAATTTTTCCCTACCAATTCATGTCCAACATGATGAAAAAGAATTTGTTTAGAAATTATTTCAAAAGAGAAAAGAATTTGAGAATATTTTCACGGGCAGATATTAACACTTCTTTAGTTGCAAAGTGGTTCAATTCTCTCTGCAACGAACTTTAGTGTTCCTGGCTTTCTATGCATTAATTAAATCTCTGTAGAAGACACATTTCCCACTGGATCTTTCCAATATAAATGCTACTGTCATTAATAAGGGAGCTGATATGCTCAATAAATTGTTGGAGAATTACTTCCTTGATCACACTACGGATTACCAGGATCGACATAGTTGACGAAGATATCCTCTTTCTCCATGTGTATCCTTTCCAAAACTGTTTACTATGGAGAAGAGAGAAACCATCCCAGACAGAAGGAATGGGACTATATCTTTAAATTACAGGTAGTCCTCGACTTTACAGGTAGTGACAGTTCGAAGTTACATTGACACTGAAAAAAAGTGACTTATGACTGTTTTTCACATGACCATTGCAGCATTCTCATGGTCCTGTGACCAAAATTTGAACACTTGGCAACTGGTTCATATTTTTTTTTTTTTTCAATATAAAATTTTTATTTTTATCATAAAAAAAAAAAAGAAATACATCACAAATATTTCACAATGTTATATCCCATCCCCCTACCCCCCGGACTTCCCAAACCAACCTAGGCTGATATTCAAATACAAGTAAACAAATATTAATATCTCTAACTCCAAAGTCTAAACTTAAACAATCCATCTCCTCCGTGTTAATAAAAATTATTCATTTAGTTAGTTCTTCAAATATCCAAAATCTTTACCATTTCAGCAAGATAGTTTAACACCATCCCTTACTTATACNCTCGCCTACATCGTCCATATAGGACGACTCGGGAACTCAACTCCTACCCCGGGCAGCTCACCGATCCCCTTATGCCCAGGGGAAAGGTATCAAGCCGTTTGACAGCAGATGCTGGCTGTCAAACCGGCTTTTACGCAAAACAGGCGGGAGGCAGCAAACAGCTGCGACCAGCGAAATCGCCTGCCACCGGAAGTCTCGGCAACTGGTTCATATTTATGCTGGTGGCAGTGTCCCAGGGTCATGTGATCACTTTTTACAAACGTCTGACACGAAAAATCATTGAGGAAGCCAGATTCACTAAACAACAGTGTTACTATTTAACAATTGAAGCAATTCACTTAACAACTGTGGCAAGAAAGGTGATAAAATGGGACAAATTTTGGGCTCAATTGTGGTCAGAAATTGAGAGCTATCTGTTTTTGTATTTCTACACATAATTCAATCTTAGCAGAGGCTAGACAGACATTCATCTTTATTGTTTTAATGTGAATCCTACTCAGAATGGAGGGTTGGGCTTGGTACTTTCTAATTTATTTTGCAGGTAGTCCTCAACTTACGATCACAATTGAGCCCAAAATTTCTGTTTTTAAGCGGGATAGTTATTGAGTTTTGTCCCATTTTATGACCTCTTACCACAGTTGTTAAATGAATCACTGCAGTTGTGAAGTTAGTAATGTGGCAGTTAAGTGAATCTGGCTTCCCTCCCATTGACTTTGCTTGTCGGAAGCTTACAAAAGATGATAACATTACCCCAGAACACTGCAACCGTCCTAAATATGAGTCAGTTACCAAGTGCCTGAATTTTGATCACATCACCATGGGGATGCTACAATAGTGGTAAGTGTTAAGTCCGGAGAATAATGGCGCTTGAGACGAAGCATCTCCAACAAGTCTTTATTGTTTGCTCCATTCTACGAACAACCAGAGCAGAGGCACGCAGGCCTCTATTTATACCCTCTAAACCCCGGGCAAGTTCAACCAATCATGAGGCGGGCTTTTCCCGCCTTGCGCATGCGCACAAGGCTGGCGCCGCTCAGTCTGGTCCCGGGCAGCTTCTGCAAATGCCCGGGACTCTTGCAACGTCCCGAGCCTGCCTCTTGCAGGCTCAGGACACAACACCCCTTCCCCCTGGATGAAATAAGATTGCGCCCACATGGACGC